AGGGTGATACTCATGCTAAAGGGTCTGCAAACAAGGATGAGGGGTGCTTAGGGTAATCCTGATCCCAGTGGATGGGGAAGGAAGGGATGAAGGAGATGGGAAGTGAAGATACCATTTAGGTTAGGGGTTCTATTAGGCTACCAACAGAATGAAAAGTAACAAGTTGCCAGGACCAGATAGTTATTGCTCAGGCATCCTGAAAGGACTTGAGGATGAAATAACACAAGTACTAGCTTGCGTAACCTTTGACTCAGAACTCTGCTGGAGGAAAGAAATGGCTACAGGGACTCTGACCTTTGAAAGGTCCCAGGGCATGGCGGTAAGTATCTTGCAGTCTTCAGAACTTTTTTTTTTTTTGTTTAAGCTAATTGGTGCAGGAATTTGTGTGATCAACGATTCTGGCAGAAAAGTTCTTTACAGAGGAGACTTTTCCCTTTTTGTAAGGGGTGTCACACTTGATTCACTGGAGTTCTTTCAAGGTGTCAGTTACATACGATCCCTCGTAAATACCCTTAAAGAAACTAGGTTGATGTGGATATCTTCATATGGACACGTAAATAGAAAGCCCAGGGTTAGAATGTGTGGTCATTACTCTCAGGGGATATGGGGAACATGTAGGGTTTTCAAACACTGGTAAATGAGCTGGAAAAGGAGTGGTGAGTTAAGTGACTAAATTGTTCAACTGAGTAGTATTATCAGTGAAGACAAATGAAGAGAAAAGGGAAGACTTGCAAATGATTTTGATCCTGAATGACAGGTTGACAATGCTGGATGAATTTCAATGCAAATAAAGGTAAAACCATGCATGGGGGGGGAGGGGTAAAACCCCTCAAAACTATGCCTTCCCTGATGGTCTCTGAGCAGACTATTTCTGCTGAGTTAGAAACAAGATTTCTTGATGTAATTGTATGAAAGTGTCAGCTCTATTTATCAGCAGTCAAAAAAGCAACTCCAGGTTAGGAATTACTTGGAAAGGAATAGAGAACAAAACAGACTGTTAAGACTATAATATTGAAGTCCCTGACGCCCCTGTTTCTTCAGTGTTGTGTGCAGTTTTGATGTTGCTGTCTCAAAGTTAGAGAAGAACTGGGAAAAGTTCAGCAAAAGACAGCAAGAGCACTATTCACTAGGAAAAATTCTAGGAAGAAAAATGCAGATGATTAAACGCTGAGTTCCTACCTCTTGTAGATGTTGGCCGGGCTGAAGGAAACTCATGATTTCTGAGTGGTTCAGGTTGTCACTGCAGTGGAGGACTGGGTGCTGGCCAGTGCCAGGTAGGCTCAGTCTTAGGGCCGAATAACTCCTGCATAAGTTGGTGATGTATTTGTTTTTGTTTGGGACTGCTGGTACCAAAACAGTTGCAAATGATTTTTTCTTGCATGGGGCTCAAGTGTCTGGTCTCTTCATGTTCCTCCCATTCTTCTACTCCCAGAGTCCCATCCTGTTGCACACATGTCCTGCCTGAAATCCCCCCAACTTGTCAGAGGTCTTGGACTTCTGATGGAGGATTTTGGAGACCGCACATCACTGCTCTCCATCTAAGATGCTTCCAGTAAGGGAAGAACCTGCATCCATGTCATTTAGTCCTTGGCCCTTTGAAGCATGGAATACGCTGCTCATACATGTCTCTGATTCAGCTGTGGACCAAGGCAAGACTTGGTATGTCAGGTTTCCTAGATGGGAGTATCTCTTTGGAAAAGGAGCTCCAGAACGCTGCTGGGGAGAGCTTGGTCAGAATTGCTGGACTACCAAGAGGAGTTGCGCGTGGAGAGAGAGAGAGCAAGAGCAGTGGGTTGGGATCAGGGTAGTCCGCACCTCCACACCCTGCTGTACAGCTGTGTCTATTTGTAAGCTGTGATGTCCAGTAAGTGGTGCGAGAACCTGCTGATTCATGTGCTTGTGGGAGATGGGACTCTTCAGGTCAGCACAGTCCTGCTGTGGCTGTGCCACCAGCTGTGCTGCCCTAGTGCTGCCATATCCTAGTGAAGACATGTGGCCTCTTGCTCAGCTCTTGGGGATATCTGAGACCAGCACGGCTCCTGCTGATTGGTTGTGCTGATGTCTCAAGACACAGGGAGGGGGTGAACTTCTCTCTGGTGTTAACCAGTTACAGGAGGACCTATGGGCTATGGGACCCTTGGACGGTGTCTGGAGAAAGACTTCTGTCACAGCCACCAAGTGGCAAATCCAGCTTGTGTCAGCAGCCTGCAGCATTATTGATCCTGTCTGTAACTGAAGGGGTGGACTGAATTTAGTAAATGTACCATGAAATGTTGATGCTTTCCCCCCAAATGCTCTCCTTCCTATCAGAGTATGATAGGATTGCCAGTCTGAAAAAAAGTCACAATTCAGGCTGATCAAAGTCAGGCTTAAGGAACACAACATCTTTAATACGTTTATTGCAGGGCTCGGTATTTACCTTTGGGTATCTGAGCCTTTAATATACCCGTAAAATTACGCTTTCGTGCTTTTCTCTGTGACGATGATTTATTTTTAAACGAAACAGTGAAGGTAAAAGAGGCAGCTAAAAGACTTAAATATTTGCAAGTGGCATGGAGACAAGACACCACGTTGGGGCCAGGAGCAAATGTTTACCATCTATCAAAACAGACTTGAGAGAGGACAAAAGGAGGCCAGCGTGATTTGACAGCAGTGTGGGGTGCTATTAGAGCAAGAAGAAATCCTTTAAAATCTGATCTTGTGTCCAAATGCAGAGGATGGAAAGACTAAGATTTGGCAGGTTAAATGTAAAAAGATAATGCAAAGGAAAAAGGGACTATGAGGAACGTGCAAGTCATAAAACTCATGCAAATAATTTTGAAGCACAGCAGGAGCAGAGGGACTGGCAGAGTCAGTAGACGTGGTACACAGTAAAGGAAAGGTCTGACCTGAAGATAAAGCACTAGCAGGGAAAAAAAAAAGTGAATTGTTTGCATATGTGTTCACTGTGGAAGAGCTGCAGGAGTTCGCACGCAAGAACACTTCCATATGGAAAGCTCAGCAGACAGTCTGTTTAAAACTGAAGTGCTTTTAGGAGAGACTGAGTTCAGACAAAATGAGCAGTAACAAGTTGCCGGGACCCGACGGTGCCACCTACGAGCTCTATGGGATCTCAAGGATGAATAAGCCAAACTACTGACTGCGTAACCTCTCCCCTGGTACCAGAGGCAAATGCAACAAGTTTCTAAGGTGAGTCTCAGGGCAAACGTGACAAACCACAGCCGGCTAAGCCAAGCACCTGTCCTAAGCTAATTCATAGACGTTATGATAGTGAACAGGATCAGTGGATAAATACTGGGGAGGAGTCAGTGCAGGTTTTGTACAGGGAAGTTGTGTTTCAAAAGCCTGTTGGAGTTACTTGAATGGAATCAACAAGCAAAGGCGTAAAGGAGATTTGTTTGGTATAGTCTGGTCGAACTTCCAAAACGCGCTCAAGGCTCTTAAAGAAACAAAGCTGCCCCAGGATAAAGGGGAAGGTCCTCACGCAGCTTAAAAGACAGGAAATATTGTTAAAGGCAGGGATTTTTTTGGCAGAGGGAAGTCACAGTGGATGCCCCCAAAATATTAAGAAATAAGCTGGAAAAAGTAATGAGTCAGGAGGTGACAGCATCCACTGAGGAGGTTATTCAGGGTGACAATGAAGGCTGAGTGAAGAATTGCAGAAGGACCTTAGGAGACTGACTGACTGGTAGAGAGGATGGCAAATGAAATTCAGAGTCAATAAACATAGGGCTGCTTATGGGAAAAATATCAAGCGATGAGCTCTCGGCTGTCTGTTTTCATTCAGGAACAAGACCTTTGGGTTGTGCAAAATAGCCCCATGGAAATATCTACCTGGGGAACAGCAGCAGTTGTCAAAACAGCAAGCCAAACTCGAGGAAAGGACGAGCGAACAGAACAGAGAACAGCGCTGCGGCAAGGCAGAAATCCAGCGGGCGCCCCATCCCGGATGTGCAGTCCTGACCCTCCATCTCAAAAAGGGTCACGTGGAAATGGCAAAGGCTTCGAGAAGAGCAAAGAGGACCTCCTTTCCCCTGTGTGCTATGGGTGCTAGAAGATCACATGGGTTTAAAAGGAGCTTGGACAAATTCATGGCAGAAAACGCGAGTGAGGCCTGTCAAGGACAGCATCTCAGGAAGTCCTTGACCTGTAGGTGACCGGAGGCTTATTTTGGAAAAGTTATTGCTTCGCAGTTGTCCTGCCTGCAGACACTTCCCAGAGCTGTTGGTTACTTTCAGACCTGGAGGCTGCACGTGGGATCACAGCATCACACAAGGATGAAATCCTGTAAAACCTACGCGCGCCCGTTTATCGGGCGGGCGTGCTTCGGTCCGGACGGAGCCTCTTGAAGGCGAGGCAGCGCCTGGGCGAGCCGGCTGGCTCTGGAGGCGAAGAAGAGCAAGGTTGGTGCGGGGATTCCCTTCTTCTGGCCACTCTCGTCCTCTTCTCGCCGGGGTACGTGCCCAGCGCCCCGCGCTGCAGCCCCCCTGCCCTGCTCCGAACCAGCTTCACCGCCTCCGCCCGCCGCGGCCGGTTCTCATCGGACACCGGCGCCGCTCGCAGCTCGGAAGACCGCTCCTCGCCCGGGCCGA